AAACAAGCAAAAATTGAGAGACATTTTGCAAAATAATTAGCCTGTAATCTTCAAAATGAAGGTTCTAAAAGTTAAAGACACACTGAGAAAACTGTCCTGAGACTAGAAACATGACAACTTTCCATTCAGTCCTGGTTCTGAATTTGATTGTTTTACTCATGAAGGATATTACTGTTTCTCAGCCATGGATTAGATGATAGTATATCTATGAGAAGATTTTTATTTCAGTGGCTGTATTTAAGTACAGTAAGAGGAGGTAGTTGATTTCAGGAAATACACTAAAATACTCAGAGGCGTTGAAGAATCAGATCAGTAACTTCCTCTTACAGAAGAAAAGAAGAGGTTATTTGCCCTGGCCTTTCAGTATTTTTATAAGTTTGAGATGGTGTAAAACTTTTTTAATTATATAAAAGAAACACATGTCATAGATAATGCTTTTGGCTTTAAAATAGGCCTGTATTGTCTTTTTTTTTTATTACATAAATCCACAGTATCCTGGGTTTTGTGATTTTTTTAAAAGGTATGTTTTTGTTACCAGTCTCATATAGATGGGCATTTAAACTCCAGTTCTAGTTCTTTGGTATTATAAAGATCTGGTTCTTTGTTATTTTGAACAATGCTCCTCCATAGTCTCATGAACATATTTGTGTCCTTGCTTAGTTTTTGCCCAAGAATAAATGGCTATGTGAATGAATGTGCATCCCTTTAATCAGTTAAGTGGTAATTCATTCTACAGACTGCCTATAATCTCCTTAGGAGAAAATGCAATTTATAATTTGGTAGTTATTTTTATTTGTTTTCTCCACTGGAAATGAACTCATATAAGAGTAGGAACTTTATCTGTCTTGATTATCACCATCCCCAGCATTCAGGCGCTCAATATGTGGTTGTTCCAATGGCTGTAATAGCAAACATTTATTATGTGCCTGGCACTGTCCTGAGGATATTAATACAGTTATTCCTGGCAACAGCTCTTATGACGTAGGTAGGATGATTATTTCTATTTGTAGATGAAGAAATTAAGGTACAAATCCATGCAACTTCTAAGTGATAGGGCCAAGAATCAGGCAGTTTTCCTTTAGTTTGTGAGTAGCTACCATGCAATACAGGGTCTCCCTTGGCACATATAGTAATCCATGCATGAATGGCCAATGCATTTATTTGAGTGTTGCACCAGCTGCAAATTTCAGCTAATTTTTCGCTTTTTCTTTTTTTATATGAATATTGGACGGAATTCACTGCCCATTTTGTGAGAACCAAATTGGTTTTATGGTCCTCTGAACTCGCCTCTACTTACTACCTAATAATGCTGCTCCTATAATTAATACTCACATAGATCTAAACTATAAATCATTCTCACCTGAAGAATTTATGGTGATGTAAACAAGATATTTGCTTTGCATTACCAGTGAAATGCTAAATCTGGGCTCACCGCTTCAACCTAGGAGGTAGAACTTTTCTATCACTTGTTTTTCGTACTCAGCTTCCTGCCTGGGCTCCTTTGCCCCTGGGGTTTCCTATACCATCCATGTTCATCATGCACCTGCTGGAGAAGAAACTGTAACCCTCCTGCAAAGCACTGATCAGTGCCAGCTGCTGCTGTGGAAGACTTTCATCCTTTTCTCTTTTTCTTTTCTTCCTCTTGAATGTTCTTGCCTTCCTCAAAACACCGAGTCCCATTTGTAATACACTTCCTTCTAGGAAGAGTACTTTTTAAACCTATGTTAGGTTAATTGTTCCTCTTCTTTAATAGGCTATCTTCTCTTTAGTTTCATGTGTTTTATAAAATCCCCATATTTACTACAGTATTTTGTACCGAGCTTGAAGCGCTTTAAAAAATCTTAGGAGAAATTGAAATTTAAATAGTATATATTCCATATTATTTAAAATTACAACCAATGAAAGCTAGGCTTGGTGGTACACTCCTATAATCCCGGCATTTGTGAGGCTGAGACAGAAAAATTGTTTACAAGTTTGAGACTAGCCTGGGCTACAAAGTGAGCCCAAAGCCAGCCTGAACTGCATAACGAGACTCTGTCTCAAAAAGACAAAAAAAAAAAATTATAGTCAATAAAATAGACATGATTTTCTTCATATGATTTGCAAGGTATCAAGAAACAAAAATCATAATTGCTTTCATTTCTGTAACAAAAGATATTCTGCTCATAGCTGCAAATATCGACCTTGCTTCAACCCCCAACTTCAGTTCCCTTTTCTTTACGTGAGTGGTGTGGGGACATAAAAGATAATAAAAATCAATCAAAGAAATAAGTGGGGGCTGGGGATTTAGCTCAGCGGCATAAGCGCCTGCCTTGCAAGTGTGTGGTCGTGAGTTCAATCCTCAGTACCAATAAAAACAAAAAAGACCAAAAAAAAAGAAATAAGTAGGATTTTCCCCCCTAAGGGCTAGTGCTTAAAGGTGTGTTCCTGTTTGAGAATTTTGATAATGAATTTGTTTTCAAGTGTTTGTGTGATACTAAATCTCCTTGCCAACCTGAAGAAGTATCGTAGGCAGCTAACTTATGTAGAAATTAATATACAGTCAGAGATGACCTGGACCCTCAAGGAAGTCAGTACAGAAAATGCAGACATCAGAGTCGTGGCTGGAGTCCCATCTGGAGAAGGCCAGGCCTCAAGGTGAAGAGATGGTCACCTCCTCAGGCATAAACAGCAACTTGAAATTAGACTGAAATTAGCACCACTGGTCAAGTGAGTCCAGACAAGCATCCGTGCCCAGCTGGGTGACCAGAGCATCTGGACTCAGTGCTGTCCTAAATGCCTTTGTCCTTCCCATGTGCCCCTGCCACACAATTCGTGCTTGTATTCCTATGGGTTGAGTGTGATTAGACCCACATTGCAATTTCGCTGTAAAAATTGCCTCCAACAAAGGGCCTTATGGTTACCCACTTGGGACCTCCTGTCAGCAAGCTACTCTCCTCTCTTATCTCTGATAAACCTCTTCCAACTTTTTCCTTTGGTTTGTATCTTCATTCCTCGATGTTGTGGCAACCACAAATTTGACATCTAACAGGTTATATTTATAACTATTGGAGGAGTACTGTCCTGGAATCCTGTTCTGAACAAAATAGCAAAATATAATCCTTTCCCTGCATGTATTTTTTAAAAAGAGACCTTCAGGGAATAGTAAGTATTGTCATTTGTTGGGAGGATGCTTTGTTTGGCATGAAGGCTGTAGCATGGCCTTTGGCCCTTTGTCTTCCTCCATAAAGAATTCTTTCCTTTACCCAGAGGATGGGGACAAAGAGGAAGGTTATAGTTGTTGAAAGCTCAAACTGCAAGCCAAAGAGAAAGTTCCAACAAATACTATCAGTCCTTTGAAAATGCCACTGCTTATGTAAATGTACTGAGGTACTTGGGTACTGGTGAGCCTCAGGCATCCTTGGATTTGTTAATATGCAGTTACATTTTGTTCATTTCTGTGATATGGTGTGATTCTTGTCTTTAGCAAGTACTGACCGTAAAGAATACCATACCTGTTTGTTTGCTTTGGTTCTTGGCTCACTGTTTTTCTATTGGTTTGGTTTAGTTTCATTACCTGTGATTTCCAGAGGATAACATAGAGGCTAATGTATTACTATGGAGCACTTGTATATGACTTTGCTGACATGTGTTTGTGTGTGTGTGTTTGTGTGTGTGCGTGTGTGCATGCATATGTGCGTGTGTGCATAAGGCATAGGTTGAACCCAGGGCCTTGTGCATGCTTCCCACTGTCCTCTACCACTGAGATATACTTTATCTCTGTCTCCTGAGTTTTGATTTTTACTGTTACTCATCTGGCCAACTGATTTGACATTCTCTGAACCAGGGTTGTAATTGTGATTAAAATAAAATATTAATAATTCTTTATCTTTGGAATTTTTTTTTACATTTTGAGTGATACATTTTAAGTTAATGCCTTAGAACTATAATGAGCAGGCTTGGTACATAATCTGAAATAAATCGAGAACAACAGTGAAGTGAAAAACATGAATATTTAAAAATCTAGCCCAGTTGAATGAAATTCTAAGATGTAGTCTAGTTCTGTGTGGCCTTGATAGGAGCAAAAGGAAATTTTCCCTAAGCCCCCAAAGGCTCCCTAGAAGAAACTGACAAGGATTAAACAGAAGGAGAAAGGCATACAAATTTATTAACTTGTGAAAGGGGAAAGAAAGTCACAGTGCAGGGGACAAGCATAGGACAAGCAAGCTAGTCCAAAACTATTCATAAAAATGTATCTCCCCCTTCCTGCAGAGGAAAGGCAGCATGGGAACTTAGACAATTCTGAGGACTTGCAAGTGACTGTTAGAGGAATGAATGGGCCCAGAGAACCTCTTGGGAATGCCTCTGAATCCAAGGATCTGTGTCCACCAGTGGGGTCACATTCCTCAGTTTTCTATGCTGAGATAGTGGGGAGAAGGATGAGGCCAGAAAGCAAGTGGTTGTGTTCCCTTTTGCAGTCTGGTCTTAAGGAGAATGAGGGAATTCCAGAGAGAGAGAGAGATGCTCTCCAGGCTCTTGCGGGGGAGGAGCTAGAAAGGTTACAGGGACCTTGATCTTGAGACTTTAAGGCCCTTTAATTTTATTTAGAGCATATTTTGGGGGCTTCTCCGCCCTGATACCCTTCATTTATAGTGACAGGAAGATCTGGATCACATCCTAGATAAAATTCGTTTGGCGCTGGCTGAGTTTTTCCTTAATCTTTGTAATTGCGTTGCGAATCTCCAAACTTTATGTAGGACAGTGTATATCTGGGAGGGATGCCCTGTAAGTAAGAGAATATTACTTTGTGTAGTCGATGCTGGGTTCCTAAATGGGAATTCACATTTCATATAGCATGTTAGCTGCAGAGTATCGTTTTAAAATAATTCTGAGACCTCGGACCGTTCCTTGTGTGGGATCCTTGGAGTCCTTGCGGCGGTGTCTAGCTCTGTGGCTTGTGTATACCAACGTGCCTTTGTTCCCAAAGTCTTTTTCTGCCTGGTTATTGCTGTGTCCAAGGGCTTTGTCTTTGCTCCACTCCGTTTTTTTCCCCATTGTGCTCCAGTCAGTCAGTCGTGTGAATAACTTTGTTTACATTCATCAGCGGATTAAGTGCATTTTGGGGGAAGAGAAGGGAGCGGCAGAGGAAGGAAGAAGGAAGAAATCCGAGTGAGGTGGATGCAGGGCGGGTAGGGGAGAACGGGACGGGTGTGAGGGAGGCAGAGCCGGCCTGGGGCTGAAGAGGACGGAGGTCTGGGGCTCAGGGGGGCTGGGGCTCCGGGGGGTGCAGGGGTGGAGATCAGCAGACCAGCATTTTCCCCAGGCTCGGGCGCAAGCTCTGAAACTCCTAGTGTATCACAGAACCTCGGCTGGGATTTGCCGAGGACACATGCTGTAATGTGTTAGTCATCCATTATCTGCTTCTATTTTTGCAGGTTCTTCTGAATGATGACGGACGCGGGTCCGCGCGGTGGCCCTCGCAGTCCCCGTCGCTGCGGAGCGCCCGGGAGCCCGCGCGTCTAGCGCCAGCGGCCGGCCGGCTGGAGGCAGAGAGCTCCGGCCGCCGCGCACGGGCTGCCGCCGCGCCGGGACCCACGCCGCGGGCCGGCCGGGGATGCAGTAGCCGCCGCCGAGATGGCCCGCCGCGCGCGCAGCCTGCTCGTCCTGCTGCTGCTGCTCGCCCTGCAGGGCGGCGCGGCTCTCCGGAGCCCGCTGTCGGTCTTCAAGAGGTGGGTGCACCCTATGCCTGTAGGACGCCGAGGTGGTGCGGGGCTTGCAGGCTGCTGCTGGGGATGCAGGCACTTCCTTCGGGGAGCCCGGAGTGCTGGCGGGAGCCCGCAAGGGGATAGATATATATATATATATATATATATATATATATATATATATATATATCTCTTTAATGGAATCGACTGGGGATTTCCAGCACGGTAACTTTTTGTAAAGTCTCTTTTGGGAAAAAAATAAAAACAAGAAGTAGAAAAAGGAAGAAAATAAAAACCCCTCCGTGTCTTGTAACCCAGCTTGCTGTACAGGCTTTGGCTTACCAAACTCCAGTTACAAGTTGTGATTTCCAATACTTTTACTGCTCTCTCTCGGGGACATTTTTCAGAAAGTGCAGTATAGTCTTTTAGACTTGGGCGTCTTACTGTTTATAAAAAGCTTGAAGAATAAAATAGCAAGATAGAACGGCAGTGGAGAAGCGCATCATGGGCTGTAATAGCTCACCAGGAAACATTGAGCTGTACACACACACGCTTCATAATTACCATATTAAATATTTATGCACTTGTACATTTGTAATTCACAACGCAGTCTTTTATTTTCTCCTCATATAACTCTGCCTCCCAGCAAGATTGTGCTTAGTTTTTGTTTCCAGGCAGTAACATTGGACACTTATCAAATAGCTAACAAAAATCGTACTGAGTTATGATTAAGATTTCTCTCATTAGAAAATTGGTATGTGGATAAAGATGTTAATGTCTAATATATTAATAGTGTACCTTTATTAACTAGAAACAAATGTGTATTTTGACAAGTTTTTATTAAATTAAAGTTTAAAAATAGACTGCCCAATTACTTTGGCTGTTTTTTGTTTACAACATGGGTAATATTGATCATGGACTATAAAATACAATTCTGAGTTATGTCGAAGATTAGCATAACATCTTTAGAATTTTCATTTGGGTCTGTATCAATAATCTTTAATCGTAAGGTCATAGAATTTTTATTTGTTCTCTTTCACATTTTATTTACGAATGTTGACTTTTCCTCTCTTTTAAGGCTTAAAGAAACTACTAGACCGTTTTCCAATGAATGTCTTGGTACCACCAGACCAGTAATTCCCATTGATTCATCAGATTTTGCCCTGGATATTCGCATGCCTGGGGTTACACCTAAAGAGGTGAGAGGAATTCTGTGTTTCACTATTCACTTATCTGTGTGCCGTCTATAATTAAAGCATGGAAACTACATTTATAGGTGGGGTGACACTTGTTTAAAAATAGGGCATTTGCCTCAAGACACCTCACATAGAGCTAGAATAGTTGAATATTATAAAGTAGAGAAAATCCTTCAAAGTAAATCTTTCAGTTGAGTGTTGTTTTTAAAGTTATTTACTCCTGTTGTCACCCGTGGTTTGAAATGGAACCTTGAACATTTACCTGTTTGGATTCTCCAAAGAATAATGCCCTCCGTAATGCAGCCTGTAAGTATGCACTAGAATATGAAATGTTATTCTAATAAAAGGAAATGATATTGAACAGCTGCACCTAAGAGATAACTTTGTTGTGTGCTCTTCCATAGCAGCCACAAGTTAGCCACAAGAACTAAAAACGTGCTCACCACCAAGAATTTGAAATGAAAAATATTTCACACTCCTTGAAGTTAGGAGAACTATTCATACAGGTGGCTGGTTGTTTTCTTTAGCCTGCTTTGCCTATTACAAGAGATATCATTTGAAGAAATGATACACAGCTCATACGAAAGTGTCTTATGGAACATTTGGGATAGAACTGGGCTGTTACTAGGGCTTTCCCTATTTTAGATACATATAAGAAGCTCAAATCACTGAGGTCATGTGGGCAAGGTGTTTCATTAAGAATAAAAAGGCCAGAATTAATTATGTTTTGCAGCCATGCAGTGCAGGGATTTTTGTGTGTGTCATTAAAAGATAGTCCTCTCCTTTTGAAGGGCTGCAGAGACGGGAGACACCTAGATGTTGTAGAGCTGCAGTGGCTGATGACTCATTGTTGCAGATAACATTCTATTTTCCGCTTTTAGTACTAGAAAAATAACAGTATTTTACTTATGAGGGAAAAATCCTTTTGAAACTGACATCCAGAAACTGTAGTGAATATACCTGGGCCTTTTTTTTCTGGGAGTAAGAGTTGACATTCATTTACTCGAAGACCTGGACATGTTCTATTTGTAAGGAACTACTTTACTGCTGTGAAGGCGACCCTCAGCCTCTCTGCATCCCCAAAAGGCCATGCAGATGACTTTTATGTGCATTCTGTCGTTCTAGTCCTGGCCTGTAATTTCATAAGCCCCTTGCTTAGTATTTAGTCCAAAAAGGAGTCTGATGAGATTAAAATGAGGGGAGATGAACAGTAGTCCCCCTACTACTGTGGGCCTCTCTATGTCTCCTCACTTTTAAAAGTGATCTTTCTCCTATTTTTGTTTAGTTTAATTTTACTTTATTTCTTTTTAAATATTCACTAGTTGATCTTTAAGTACTCATTTTCAATAAGAATATCATTGTTTTAATCAAACAGTCATTATCATTATTTGTTCTTAATCTACTTATTATTATTTAAGAGATAATATTTAAATTATTTAACAGCAATAATAACCAATGGTTACGTCAGTGAATTTTAGAATTACCAGAAGAACGTCTTATTAAAACACAGGAAAGACTCATTTCATAAAACAAAATGTTTATTCATTTTTCAATCCTATAATAATCAAAATAACTCTATGTGAAAAGAACACAAAGTATTTAAGTGGCCACTTTTATTCTGTACTGCCCGTATTCAGCTTCCCGTTAGGCAGTGGTGATGTGCTGCTTGCCTTCCCCACATGGAGCTAGTTTCCTCCCTACTCCTTCTCTGAGACCGTATGATTCCCAGGAGCTGTCTACACAGGCTACAGACATGAGAAAACAAACTTAGATTAACCAAGTCCTGCAACTCACCTCCCTTCCACAGTGGTTGGTTTATAGGAAGTGTGTGACCCGGACAAATTCAATCAAATCTTAGGACTTTTGCTGGGAATTTTATGTTGTATGTAAGCCATGTGTGGGCAATGTAGGGCAGTGGTGGCAAACCTGTGGCACCCATGCTGCAGCGGGCACACAGAGCCCTCTGCTGGCATGTAAGCCAATGTATGAAGTGTTTTGGGTTTGGTTTTTTTTTTTTTTTTTTTTTTTTGCCTTTTGATTAAAACCTTGGTATTCGGGTTTAACTGCAGTGTTGGCACTTTGTGACAAATCACTGAGTTTTGGTTGGAGCTTGGGCATTTGGTCTCTGAAAGGTTCACCATCACCCATCTAGGGTCTGCCAAGTTCATGACAGAGCCTTGCTTAGAATAAAGCTAGTATCATGTATAGTAATATGATGAGAATAAGAACATAAATTCTTGGTGGTATCACTATACATGGAGTTTTTAGCTATGTTAGTCTTTCTTTGTTGAGTTACGTTTTGCCTTGCTTCAGCTAATACTGTCTCACTGGGTAAACGATTTAGTTGCTCTGCCTATTGAGTTTAGAACTGGTTGTGAAATACGTCTTCTGTTTCCTCAATGCACTTGATTATTGAGCACGTACAGTGAGTAACTGATTTGATCTGACTGCTGCACAGATCATGTCTTGTAAGTTTTCATGACAAATGACGAACACCCTGTTGAATATGGACACACACTGTTCTCAGAAAGCCTTCTTCTGAAACTTGGTGCTCTCCGGTGAGGCAGACACAGAGTTATGACTCTGTATTTTTGGTGCAAAAGGTGTTCTTTTCTTAAAAATACAGGTTTAGCAGAGATCTTTTGAGAGGAAAGACGATAAAACGGCAGGCAAAAAAGAAAAGAAAGAAAAAGACCTTAGTAAGAGGAAAGAAATAAACAATGAAAGGGAAGTGAGAAAAGTTGACTAAAATAACAACAATATGCAAAAAGATAATATGATCAAAAAACAAAATGGAAAAAAATCCAGGAATAACTGAAATAGAAGGGAATATTTTTTAAAAATCATGTAAGAAAAAAAGGGAAAGAAAGAAAGCAGAAAGTACAAAAGACATTGAGATGTTTGTTTTTCTTTTAATAGTGGAGGCTCAATAAGAGCAACAGATTTTAAAGAAAAAATGAGTGAAAGTTGGTAGTTGAGGCTTACTAATTTGTTTAAAGAAAATATCTACTCAACATATTTTCTTTATAAAGTACTTCTTTTGATGATAATGAAATTCATGCCATTAAATCTGGTGTAAATCTTTCCTTGAGAGACAAGATTATTAGGTAGTAAGCCTGAACAGGAAAACAAGGAGATAGAGAACACAAGGGCTGAGAATCCTAGACGTAGCATTGGTGCCATAGCTAAGTTCCCATATGGAAGGCATGCTTAGATAGGGTCTCATGAAAGGATAACAGTCATGTTAGGCTGCAGAATCATACTCCGTTCTGCCATGTCACAGGATTTAAGAGTGGGGCAATAAAATATTGTTCCTAGTAAGCTGAATCCAGTAGGCTGTAGGGAAATAGCCTATTGTCTACTACAATATCAAAAACATTTAGATGTTTTAAGACTTGAGTGTTCTTCACATACTCAACATTAGATACCAACAAAGAGGATGTTTCTTAGAAAGAGCGTGTACTTAGCATTTGCAAGGTTCTGGGTTCAATCCTCAGCACTGCAAACACAATATGATAGGATACAGTATGATATGATATGATATGATACAATATATTGCTGATAAAAAGCAAACAATAGAGGAAAGGACTTTTCAGCAAAGATCTTCTGGAACCCGCAGTATATTAACCACGTACTACAAAGAAGACTGTCAAATGAATAAAAAATAAGTTTAACAGAGATATTTTTTGAAACAACTTGAAAGTCAGAAAGTAAGGGCTAGCAGAGTCACAACTACTGCCTATATAATTCTTTCATGTGCAAGGTCAAGGACTCAAATTCTGAAGGCCTGAAGGTCTCTACACACATCACTGTGAATATTAGGAATACGAATGCATATGATATAAACTCTGTGGTATTAAAAACAAACTTTGCTGTATAAAAGTTTATATAGCATGTCATCTTTGTTTCTTCATGAGAATAACAGTATAAAGACCTATAGCATCAATTTTATAATCCAATTAAGTTCAATTTCTTTTGTCTTGAATATTTAACAATAAATTTTCATCCTCTTTTATAAGTTTCCGGCACCAGTATTTTTGCAGGATTTGGGAAGTTCAGAAGGAACAATAGGTGATTTTTTAAATATTCTGACATGGAGTAAAGTCAGGACCTGGTGTCCAGGGCCACTGGCTTTAAATGCAGCAGAGCCGAAAGTGGTATTGTCTGAGGCAACCCTTTGGGCACTTCCATTTCATATTTGATTCCCTCACTCACCTGGGACCCAGTGGACTCTTGCCATCCCCAATTCTCATGTCAGCAAGACAACTTGATGCAGTGCCATTTCATTCACAGTTATGGTAAAGTCCTACCATCCATCTGGTGACTTATCTATATGATAATTGATTTTAAAATAAAGTAAGTGAAGGCATATTCATAGTGATTTTACATAAAGCTCCCTGTCTAAGTCTGAGTTGAAGCCAAGGGTTAGGACATTGACTTTGGGGCCAGGAAGACAGCGTTCTTGTCCCACTGTTGCAGCGTCCACTTAGGTGTGTGTCTTACCAGCTAGTCCTGCTCCTTTTCCTGTAAATAGGCTAAGAGTGTACCTAGCCAGGGTATTCTGAGGACTGAGCGAGGCGATTACAGTGCCGCATTCAGTTCAGTTGCCCTACATAAGGCTGGCTCTCAAAAAGTGAGCCCGGGTGTGGCTGTGATCGTTACATGTGTTGAGAGGAGAGTGATTCAGCCTTAAAATGAAACTGCAAACCTGTGTGTTTCAGCCATGACTTCACGGAGAAGGAAGACATAAGAAAAATAGTACGAGCCTAGACAGGCGAAACCTGGGTGAAGTGAATGAAAAAGTAATTCTTTCAGTATGTCTATTCTTAATAGGTATTTCCATTGAAAATGACCCTACCATAAGAGTTACTGGATGCTAAAGATAGATTCTTTTTCAGAAAGTGTTCATGCATTTTTTATTTTACTTTGAAAAGAAGTTGTCAAAAAAGCTGGCAAAATTCAATGAGACTGACTTTTTCTATGCATACAGTGATTTAAATCAG